CTGCCTCAGATTTGGGCCCCAGGCTACACACATTCCCTAAGCACCATAATCACTTCAAATCACATGGAGCTTGTAGTAACCCTTTAATGGAACCTGCAGGAAGACTTTGTATCCCTTCTCACAATTCTTCCTTTCACTTCTATCAAGCTCTCTAGAATGTAAGCTTGTTTTAGCAGGGCCCTCAACACCCTCGGTTCCTTTGCGTCCAATTCGTCTTGTTGCAAATAGATGCCTGTCAGTCCACCTATTGTACAACTTTATGGAATTTGTTGGCGCTTCATAAATTGTAATATTATTCTCTGAAACCCACCCACATCACGGCCTTGAACACTTTTTACTATTACACCGGTGCTTAAAGCAATAGTCATATTCTACCATCTTTCTTGGTCTTAAAAGTTACTTGCCACTGGAAGCATTAACAAACAGCCTAAGGGTACATTTCTACTTGTCAGGGATACATTTTCATTTACCAATGCTAGTAGGACTTTTGAGCCATGAATTACACTGTATCATAAAAATGTAAAATATAAATTGACACAAATTGATGTCTATTTTTCGCCGTTTCCTTTAGTTTCTATTGCATTTAGCTACGATTTGTGTTGATTTATATTAGTGCTGTTAAGGTTTGGTTTCTTCATTAAGTAGGAATTAGTTTCCCTGCTATTCGATAGAGACTTCTTTATAGTAATTTCATGAGAGGATATTTCTGGGATGTTTTCATTCTCTGTTATCCGTATCACTAATTGCCTCTACAAATTTAGCTAACATTCCCTCCTTCACTTTTAGACACATATTTATACAATTTATACAAGTGTTATGTGGATACTGTTTCTGTTTGTATATATAGTTTTTCTTTTCAGCACTTTTGATACATATTAGCCATACTGATGTACTAGGCAGCTTTATGTGTATGAGTATTCATATATTTACTTAAAGGGACTCTCCAGTGCCAGGAAAACAAACCGTTTTCCTGGCACTGCAGGTCCCCCCTCCCTCCCACCCCCCATCCCATGTTGCTGAGGGGGTTAAAACCCCATTCAGTGACTTACCTGTATCCAGCGCCGATGTCCCTCAGCGCTGGTTCAGCGTCCGCCCACGTCATCCGGCGGGGGAGACCTATTGAGCATGCGTGGCCGCCGGCGGGGGAGACCGCATTGCGCATTAGACCTTCCAATAGGAAAGCATTGAAAAATGCTTTCAATGCTTTCCTATGGGGATTTTAGTGACGCTGGAGGTCCTCACATAGCGTGAGGACGTCCAGCGAAGCTATAGCACACTTTTCGTGTGCTATAAGCATGGAAGTGCCCTCTAGTGGCTGTCTAGCAGACAGCCACTAGAGGAGGAGTTAACCATGCAAGGTAAATATTGCAGTTTATGAAAACTGCAATAATTACACTTTCACGGTTAAGGGTAGCGGGAGTTGGCAAATGGACAAAGTGGTCTGGGTGCCTGGAGTATCCTGTTAATTTTGCAGTGGTAATTATTGCAGTTTTTATAAACTGCAATCATTACATCTGAGGGTTAACTCCTCCTCTAGTGGCGGTCTACTTCTGGAATTAAACTGACTTTTGGTCTGTTATCTGACGCTGGACTTCCTCATGCTCTGCATGAGGACCTCCAGCGTCGGATTTTCCCCATAGGAAAGTATTATTCAATGTGCATTAGGTCTTCCCTGCCGCGGACATTGGCGGGGAAGAAGCATGGGCGGAGCTGAGCCAGCACCGTGGGAGGGGGCCTTGACAAAGGGGAAATCTATAGTGCCAGGAAAAGTTTGTTCTTTTGGCATCTCTTCCTGATTAATAAATCCATATCTGCTCTACAACACATCATGTGTCCAAGTAAACAGTTGGATCAGGCAATCTTAGCTATATACAATGTTTGCACAAAATAATAACTGCAAACCTTTACATGCACATGTGTGTGTGTGTAAAATACAAAGTCCAGGGCACTCGCTTATTCACTAAACAAGAATTTCAAATCTTAGAGATTGTAATAGTTTTATTTAAAAACACCTCACCTAGGCAAAAAATAATGGGGGGTTTAGTTACATTATATGATCATATATTGCATAAGCCTGCCACAATGTCAATGTACCCCATTCTTGGCAGGTCCTACTCTAGCAGCCTAATGCTTGCTCTTATGAGATTAATCCACTTACTTGGGAAATACTTCCTTACTGGAACTCTCTGCAAGTCAAGGCTAAATAGAGTCCTGGAATGAGGCACCTGTGACAGGGAGGGGTACAAAACCAAGGAGTTGGCCTGGACTCCCAAATATATAAATGAAACCAAGAGAGCTGCACTCACCTGAACATGCATACATTATAGGGTGCTGCTGGGGTTTTGCACCCCTCCCTGTTACAGGTGCCTCATTCCAGAAACCTATTTAGCCTTGACTTGCAGAGAGTCCCAGTAAGGAAGTATTTCTCAAGTAAGTGGATTAATTGCATAAGAGCAAGCATTAGGCTGCTAGAGTAGGACCTGCCAAGAATGGGGTACATTGACGTTGTGGCAGGCTTGTGCAATATATGATTATATAATGTAACTAAACCCCCCATTATTTTTTGTCTAGGTGAGGTGTTTTTAAATAAAATTATTACAATCTTTAAGATTTGAAATCACTGTTTAGTGAATAAGTGAGTGTACTGGATTTTGTATTTTGGCCCCAGCAGCACCCTATAATGTATGCATGTTCAGGTGAGTGCAGCTCTCTTGGTGTATATGTATATACACACGCGTGCTATTACTGCATTTTCCATGTGCCTTGGCGCCATTTATTACGCTTAAACTTTGGATAACCCTGTCTATAGAACTAGTGGCTCTTTATTTTGAATAGTCATGCAATCAACCGCTTTTCTATTTGTTTAATAAAGTCAAGCTTACAATGAAAAGAAATCTCAATAAAATTACTAGAGGCAGCCATTACTCTAGAATGCTAAACATGTCCTGCAGCACAAGTAGCCGCATCCTGATTGGATTGTTTGTCAGATGCTCCCCTTTTCCAAACAGAAAGTTCCAACAGTCGCAGCATAGCTACTATAGGGCACTGTAAAACTGATGGTGTATAGAGTATACCACTTGTCCTCTTTGCTTTGATTACAATACTGCTGTATGCATTGTTGCTAGTTCCATTATGACTCTCTGAACACATACGACGTGCACTTTTCTAAAGTGAACAGAAAGCGTGACATGGCAAATTTGTTCTTTTCCTTTATCTCCATCCATGAAGCATTTATACAAAAGAGACACTTTGGTGCTATGAAACCACTCAAAATTTATGTTTTTTTGTTTTATTTCCTTTGTTGTTTTTATGTTGTATACTAAAGGAGGGGTCAGGTCTTTGCAAAAAAAAAAAAAAAGATAATTTAAAAAGGATTTAACATACGTTATTAACATCTGTCTCATGTAGTCAGGAAGTTAATTGAATCATCTGACTTTAAAAATGGCAGCATTTGTTGATGCTTTATAAATTAATAATGATTTAAGGACCAGTATTGAGAGCTCCTTATTTAAAGTGGAACTATCACATCTGAGTTTTTCACACACCCCAATAACTAATAAATATATTATAGTGAATTAGAAAACAAATTGCTAGGTTTAGTCAGTTGGAGACTTTTTACAAACCAACTGTTTGCTTATATATCTCAGTTTGGCTTTTAATCAACTACAATGTGCTGTTGCATCAATAAAACCCTAAAAGGTAGCTAGGATTTGTGACATTATTTTAATTCTGTACCATTTTTATTTTTAATTTACATTGTTCTAGCCTTGGTCTAGCTGGTTTTAGTTAATTCCCATATCTAATTTGTTACATAATATAATAACAAAGTGTTTACCCATGAAAAGTACATTCAGATTACTCTATTTTCCAAGTACATACTGGGGATGCTACTTTTGCCCAGCATCCAGAGGATGTAAATTGACTGATTTTATGATAGCTAAGACCATACTTTCTGTGAACAATTTGAGCCAATTAGGTTATTAGCTGTAATTCTGCATATTTAGTAGGTATAAATGTCCTTGCACAATGGTCAGAACTCAATCCATTCTATATATTTTTATATATTCATGCATATCTTGCAAAGGTGAAATAAAAAAAAAAAATAATATATAAAAAAAAAAAAAAAATATATATATATATATATATATATATATATATATATATATATATATATATACATACACCAAGTTAGTTAATTTGGCATATGTTCTTTATTAATAAATCCATGTTCTCTCTACAACACACCATGTGTCCACAAAATATTTTTTGGATCAGGCAATCCTAGCCATATCAAATGTTTGTACAAAATAATAATTGCAAACCTTTCAGCGTGCTTGTGTGTGCATATATACATACATCATCTGACTGTAAAAATTGCAGAATTTGTTGGTGCTTTATAAATAATAAAGATTTGAGGATAGATTTTGAGAGCCTTTTATTTATTACACCTGAGTTTTCCACACACCAATAACTAATGGATAGAGTGCAGTCAACTGAAAACCTAATTACAAAGTTTAGTCAAGTTGGTGATTTTTTCCAAAACAGTTATGTTTGCCTATATTTTTCAATGTGGCTTTTTCATCCACTACAATGTGAGGTTTCATCAATACAGATAATGGATTCTTGGTATCAGTGGAATTCACTGCATTTTTCATGTGCATTGGCGCCATTTAATTAGCATGAAGATTGCATAACCCAGTCTGTGGAACCAGTTGCTCTTTTACTTTGAATAGTCATGTAAATAACTGCCTGGTTAATCTAATCAGACTAACAATGAAATTTAAATCTTAATAAAATTACTAGAGGCAGCCATTACTCTTATCATGCTAAACATGTCCTGCAGCCCAAGCAGCCGCATCCTGATTGGACTGTTTACATCACGTGCCTCCCCCCCTCCCTTGCACATACACAGCACGTTCCAACAGTCGCCTTTCGGATTGGTCAGTTCGTGTCACGTGTCAACCGGCTGCCCCCCAATAAGAGACGCCGCTCTGGGCCTCCTCGACATCATCAGCGCGCGCCTCTTTCAAACGCGTCCGTTTCCTAGGAGAACAAGCTCAGTGTCCCCCGAAGCAGCATGGCGGCCAAGCTGGACAGCCTGACTAGCAGTCCGAAGGAGGCGGCCGTGGGCCAGCCCGGAGTGTCGATGGGCAGGCTCGATATGACCCAGGAGGAGCTGGAGCGCTTTAAGACCGCCTTCCAGGACCAGGAATTCCGCAAGATGTTCACCGACTACGTGGAGGAACTCAACGACCCGGAGACCCGGCGGCGCTACGAGGAGGAGATCCGGCTGTTGGAGCGGGAGAGGGGGGTGGACATCCAGTTCGTGTACCCCAGCCCGGGCTACGTATTGCTAACCAGCGCCAACCGCCTCAGGAGGTGCTACATCAACGTGTGCTCCAATAGCATGATCCCCGAGCCGCAGGCGGTGCGTGGGACCGACCAGAATGCCAGAGGGGGGAGCTACTGGACCCTGCCCTACATAATCACCCCCACAAGGGAGACCACCGAGCAGGATGGCAGCCGCTCCCTGCTCTACGATGTGCTCTTTCACCCAGAGACCATGGAGCTGGTCAACAAGAATGTGAAGTTCAAGCAGATGGTGGACTCGCTGGCAATGAGTGGGGTCTCTAAATACTTCAGTTTGGAGCTGGACCGTATCAACGTCAAGACTCTCAGCGCCAAGTACATGGGGCCAGCTCAGAGTGCTGTGATCAGGAAACCCATCCCGGGGTTCGTTCCCAATGCTGACACTCCAGCACCCCTGGAGGGTCCTTACCCGTACACCGAGCTCCTTAAAGGAGGAACAGGGCGGGAGTCACCTGCTGCTCGGCCCAAGCCATCTGTGCATCCCAAGCAGGGTGTCAATAAACCCAGAGCCCCACACCCACCCCCCACAACTCCCCATTATACCATCCGTCAAAGGTCACACGTGGATTTTCAGGATTACACCTTATCCAGGTTCTCTGCACCCAGCCCTGTGCCTGATGAGCTGGTGGTCACTGTAGACATGCCTTTGTTAGAATCAGCATCTAGTGTCTCTCTTCATATCCTAAGCAAACAGCTTCATCTGGAGTCTATAGAACCGGTTTATAAACTTCAAGTGGATCTCCCCTACATGGTGGATGAAAATCGAGGAAATGCCCAATTCAACAAGGCAAAAAGGCAGTTGGTCCTGACTTTGCCTGTTGTTCGACAGAGATTAATGCAATGTCGGATGTGCCAAGATAGAAATTATGGTACCTGGGATAACAGCTCCAGAGTCTCGGTCTGCCCTCATTTCGTACAAAGTGTTTCCCAGTTACCTCAAGCAATCACCATGCCAAGGTTTTGTCAACCAAATAACACTTCCTATAACAGCATGCAGCACATTCTTACATCCCCTGATGTTCTGTGTCCAGTATTCACTTGCACACAAGATAATACATCACTTTCGTTAATTCTACACACTCAAGACGTGGACAAAAAGAGCGTACAGGCTAACGTGGAGATTAACCAGTTTCATATAAGTTACCGTGTGAAACATGGCTATACTTACTATTTTTTGCTGATCCAATTTCTTCCCAAGTACTGCTTGAATAAAAATGAGCTCTCCATTAATGTCACTGAAAACAATGCAGTTGTTGAGTTGGCTAAATCTCCAGAAAACTTTGGCTTATGGAAAAACCTGTACTTCGGGGACAACAGAAATCCATTGCAGGTAATGTATTGTAATTAGGGGCTCATCCTTCTCAATTGTTTGGTCTACTTTTTAATAGGGAAAGGGGGGTTATGCACATATAATAAGCTAAAAGTGTCATCTGATGCCCTCAGACTATCATTAAAGGCCCATTGACAGTTGGGAGATTTTATTTATAAAATATTTTACCAGGAAAGATACATTGAGATTTCTCTCGTTTTCAAGTATGTCCTGGGTCCACAAGTCATTTTTAGTCATAAGACTTAAAAAATGCATGATTTTTATTACATATTGCCACTTAATACTAAAACAATTACAATTCAGTCTTGCATTAACTGACATAATAGTTCTGCATTGCCTACACATAGTAAAACACTATTTCCAGGTTACATTGTACAGTAAAAACATCAATTTAAAAATATTGCTCTGCATACTTTGACTAAATTCTAACTTGTTAGTATTGTCTGAACATACAATACAGCAGCAGTTTGCCGTTTAAGTTTACCCTCCATAGCTTCAGTTTGTTTGGACAATGTAGTGATTTTAAACTGTAGCACATAGATCTCCATGTTTGTGAACAGGCATTGTTTAAGAGATGTCAGAAATGTTCTAATGAAACCTGGAAGCGGTAGCACAGGTACAGTAGAGTAATGTAATTTGTACAAGCTTTTGGTTTTTCCTTGTTTAACAAACTGTTTATAAATTTATTGAAAACAGGAAAGAAAGTTTGTCTGTGAAGACAATGTAGCAGAATTTCTGGAAAGCAGCAGCCAAGGCCCACAGGTCCCGTGGTCTACACTTGAAGATGAACTATTGCTTGAAGTTCTTGAGCTGAATGATCAGAAAGCTCATATTCAACTGAATGTAAGTTGACATGTATATTTCTGTTGGAATGTCTTTTTTTATTTTTTATTTTTTTTATTTCTTCACCCCTATCTTTCTCAACTTTATGGAGATATGTGGCCCATAGCAGCTATAATACCAACTCTAGCCATTCCAATTGGTGGTAAACCTTTTGGGGTATTTTTTATTGGTTAATTTACTTCATTGCCTAACTGTCACTTGCATGAATACTAAAGTAGCACCATAATACACCCTTCTAGTTTGAATGTATATAACATGTACAACAATTCTCCAAGTCGTAGCAAGGATAACAATACCTAAATCCTTAAACTCTGGTTTTTAATTCAAGGTTGCTGCTGTAACAACGAAGTACAAACTAAATATCGGCATATTGAATTTGTTTCAAAGCTCATAACATGTCTGTCTATCCTGTAAAAAAAAAAAAAAAAAAATCAGTTACTCTGTAAGTGGTGGTTGAATTATACTGTAACTAAACTGCCATTGTGGTGTGTCTTTTTTTTTTTTTTTTTTTTAAGAAGTCAGAGGGGGAAGAAGAGGATCCTTTACCCCAACAAGAAGTGACTGCTAATCATGTGGAAGCAAAGGATAATACAATTTCAGAGTTGAGTCAGACAAGTACAACTAAAACATGTGCTATAGAAAAGGATGATCAGGAAACATGGCAACACACAAGTAATGTAAAGGCTTTAAGTACAGCTGAGCAAACAACTGGCAGTATTGAACAGCCAGAGCCTTTACTGAATTCTGCAGACTCTAAGCCTGTTGAAACTATTTCCCCTGAAGTTCAAAGCACCAGAGATCTTTGTGTAGAAAAGAGATCCAGTATTGCTGAAAAGGATGAGCCTGTGGAGGAGGTTGTGGATGTTGCTGATGAAAAGCAAAGTACGGCACAAAATGAAAGTGATCCAGTACCAATTTTAAAGGAAGTTGATGAAGAAGATGGGCATGAAGAAGTAATTAAGGATCACTCTACACAATGTGCATTCACTTTCCAGAATCCTTTGTTGTTTGATTTGGATTAAGGGGTGTGTGTGTTTTTTTGTTTTTCTTCTAACCTGTGACTCTTCTCAAATATTTGAGTGCCTCAACTCTTCATAGTAAACATCTGTTTCCTGGCTCTCTGATAGTTATATTTTTATATACATATTCATTTTAGGAGATGGTTAGTTGTGGAATTTGCGGGTGTGGTGTGGGTTTTTTATATATTTTTATATATAATTTTTTTTTTTTTCTGTACAAACTAATTACAATGTGATTGTATGGCATTATGTATCTATATACAGTGTGCTGGTAGAATAGTCTTGTGAACAAGAATCCCTCTTTTTCCCTACATTATGGCAACTTCTCTTAGTAGTTTATCAGAATCTGGTATCATAAATGGGATTGTGCAAGAAAATTGCAATTCTACTGTCACACTGTATGGCTATCTTTTTATGCTGTTTGTGACAGACCCTACAAAACTTAAACTGACACTATGCACTATATAACCACTACATCATTGACTTGGTTATAGTGTCTTGAGCCTAATTTTACAATTGTTGATCTCATTTTGTATTCACTCCACCCCACAAAAGTGTATGTATCTCTTTAAATAGTTTTTAATCTTTTTGTTCTTACATTTTGTGTATTAAGCATTTTAATAAATATCTAATGTATATTAACACTATTGCTATTGTGTGTAGTATATACTTTTTTTATTTTAAATATCTTAAAGGATGGTTATATGTAGAATGTAATCTTTTAAAGATTACTCCAAGCATCATAACCACTACAGTCTGCCGTATAAATCACACCAGGAGTACTCTGGCCTAGCTCCCCATAATGCAGCAAACTGTTGAGTACTGGTCGTCTCCCTGGTAGTCTAATGACATGCTTCTGCACAAGCTAGAAGCTGCAGGGATCAATATTAACTGGCTTAGTGCGTCAAAGTGACAGTTCAAAGCCAATCACTGTCATTCTGTTGCACAGAACTGACTTTAGCAATTCCAGAACTCTGGGCTAGCTGACACCCCTGTGATTTAGCCGAAGGAATGGTTAAACACTGCCCATTTAGGCACCATGAACACGTGAAATCACTGACGTGGTCATAGTGCTTAGAATAACCCCATTACGGCGTTCCATGCCATCCCCATATTAATTTAAAGCCATTGTGACCGCATAGCCATAATGGCTTCCAGCCGCAGGAGCTGAAATAAATATGAATAATATTTATAATTTCTGCCGCAATCAGCTTCTCTGACAGTCCAGACAATACCACTTGTGCTGAATCAGGCCCCTGCGGGCTATGTGATCGTTTTGACAGTGCGTTCACACGGTCCTACTAACAGGCAAACGATCTGCCTGCGAGGGTGAAGGGGCAGGAACAGAATAAAAGCATAAATGGTCAAACACACAAATGAGTGGATGCCAAATATACTTTAATGCTAAAAGTAAAACCCAACGCATTTCGCCAGTATAGGGGTTTCAAGGTTTACACTTGAAGCCCCTATACATGCAAAATGCATTGTGGTGGTTTGATTTTTTTTGGGGGTGTGGGCAGCATATAAAGTAGAAAAGGAAGACTCCTACAATAGAGTGCATCTTATAATAAAATACCTAAAGACAAACCTAAAAAATATAACTTTGTACATAAAGATATAACTAGCAATTTGATAATTTTATCTGAAAAGTGGGGTGGGGGGAGCAGGGGAATCTTTGTGGTAGGGAAATGAAGAACCTAAAAAGCTGCTAAATCTAGCTTCCTATGTGGGCCACCCTGACTAATTTAAAGATCCAATATGTTTTATTTTTCTGAGGGTTTTTAGTTTGATTTCCTCTCCTCTTCCTGTCTATTCTGCAATTTTAACTCCTTTAACGATAAGTCCATTGGGACTAGCTCCATTATATAAAAAAAAATGTTAGGGTACTCCGTGGTTATTGTTTCCATTCTTGATGACTATGTTCTCCTCCAATTCTTGCTTTCAACGTTCTGCATGTACTTATCACATTGTTTCCCTCGAGGGCACTCCAGGTGATATACCACATATGTGATGTTAGTTGATAACTCGTACAAATTATTCTCAGTATTAGTGTGGTTTGATGAAAAATTAGTTAGTATTGGGAATATAGCCACAAGTTAAACTCTCTTTCCACACTTATCTAATCCCTTAAGAGGGAAGACCGTTAGTTGTGATAATGCAGTTTTGTTGGTCGGGTTGCTAGGAGCCACTATATTCTTAATTGTCAAATTGCGTCTAAAGACAACTCTTGGCTTGTATTGATTCCCAATGTAGGGGTCTTGAGTCACAATCGGCCAGTGTTTATGGATAATTTTTCTAACTTCCATTGCTGCGGAGTTATATGTGGTAACCAACATGGGTCTTGAATGGAAGGGATTTTTTTTTTCCTATGTTGACCTGTACTTTTGGATTTAATCAGGTCTTTGGGTCTATTTTAAGTATTTATTTCTTCCTGTATTGATGAAAGTTCATTGATTTAAATATAAATTTTTTTTTATTTTTTTTTTTTGTCCCAGAATGGATTATTCCAGATGTACTTGCTTTCCCACCATCCCATCATGATTTTGGGATAAATTGGCACTAGTTTAGTCCCCATCGCTGTCCCATTTCGTTGTAGGTAGAAATGATTTTCAAACAAAAAATAGTTATGGGGAAATACAAAGTTTATACATTCCAGAATTAATTGTTACTGGTGTTGGTGTCAGGACTATAATTGATCCAGCACGCTGAATAGTATCACACCTAGGACTAAGGATAACGTTTAACTAGACCTTAGACTGGCCGGACTTAACGTACTGGAGAATAGTCAAAATACTTGCTGAGGTCAGGGACACAGAACATGACAGAACGATGAGGAAAAAGCCAGAAGTCAAGAATATCAGAAATCAAGGAAATCAAAACAAAGCCCACGTCAAATACCAGAAAAAAACACAATCAGGAACACTCTCTCGGATAACCAGCTAGTGGAAACCACAACAGGTAATTTGGGTTTAAATAACCCTCTTGAGACTGTAATTGGTTGTTTCTAAACCCAAAACGTGCGTGCGCGACTGACGTCGCACGCACGTTGGTGCCATCATTGCTGTGGGTGAAGGTGAATTTCGTATTAAAACCGGAACCGCAGTGGCCAGTGTCTCTAGGAACGTCTTACTCGCTGGGGACCGAAACTGAAGGTCGGGCAGCGGTTTGCTGCGACCAAGGTAAGTATACAATATCTCTGTCAGTGTGGCCACTTAGTATATGTGCGGCCATGCCGGCAGACTAATGGGGAGCCGTGACCGTACCCCCCACTTGAAGACCACCCACTGGGTGGGCAGGACCAGACTTGAGGGGAAATTTGGCATGGAAGAAACGGATTTTGCGGCCTGCATGTATGTCTGAAGCAGAAACCCAAGAATGATCAGCAGGCCCATAGCCCTTCCAATCAACCAAATACTGCAGAGACCCTCAAGAAAATCTGGAGTTGATTATAAAGGAGACCTTATACTCCTCCTGTCCAGAAACAACCAAAGGACGGGAGTCAGAAAGGGTGGTATACCTGTAGATAAGGGGCTTCAGTAGGGATACATCAAACATGTTGGGTATACGCAGAGAGGCGGGGAGAGCCAGAGAATAAGACACAGGATTAATCCTGCAAATTATTCAAAAGGCACAAAAAAACCTTGAGTTTAATATTTCGTGTGGAGAGCCATGCCCTGTCACCCACCTGGTAACAAGGGTTGGCACCACACCTCTTATGAGCATGCGTTTTGAAACTAGCAGCAGCTGTTTCCAAAGCTGTGTGGACTTTAATCCAAGTCTCACGTATACATTTGAGATAGTCATCCAGAGCGGGAATAGCAGTGTCAGAGAACACCGCAGGGAGGACAGTAGGATGACGACAGTTAACAAAAAATGGACTACGTCCAGATGAGTCATGAGTTGCGTTATTTCTGGCAAAATTCGGCCCATGGTAGCAAATCAGACCAGTTTTGCTGAGTGCCATTAATAAAACATCTCAAATATTGTTCCAATGATTTGTTGGTTCTCTCAGCCGCACCATTGGTTCGAGGATGGTATGAAGATGAAAATGATAATTCTATACCCACTTGTTTGTTAAATGCCCTCCAAAAAGGTGACAATATTAAGCGGAATGCCATGTAATCTGACTATTTCGTGTATAAATATATGGGCCAGCTTCTGGGAAGAAGGTATCTTTTTGAGCGGAACAAAGTGGGCCATTTTAGAAAAGCGGTCAACAACCCTTAGGATGGTGTTATAGCCTTTAGAAATCGGGAGTTCCACAATAAATGCCATAGACAAATGAGACGATGGGATACTGGGTATAGGAAGCGATTGCAATAACCCACAAGGTAGTTTATGGGGAACCTTAGAAACCGCACAAATAGTACATGCCTCCACCTACTCTGATGTCTTTTCTAAGCGATGGCCACCAAAATGAACTAGAGACAGTGGACACAGTTTTATTACTGCCTGGTTGTCCAGCTGTCAAATTATCGTGAAACACTTTTAGTACCTCCTTTCTTTACAGTAACAGATTAACCCCTTGGTGACCAGGCCATTTTTCAATCTCTTACTGTTGAGGACCAGGGCTCTTTTAAAATTTCTGCAGTGTTTGTGTTTAGCTGTAATTTTCCTCTTACTCATTTACTGTACCCATACATATTATATACTGTTTTTCTCGCCATTAGATGGTCTTTGTAAAGATACCATTATTTTCATCATATAATTTACTATGAAAAAAAATAAAATGATGAAAACAAATGTAAAAAAAACACACCTTTTCGAACTTTGACCCCCAAAATCTGTTCCGCATCTACAACCGCCAAAAAACACCCATGCTAAATAGTTTCTAAATTTTGTCCTGAGTTTAGAAATACCCAATGTTAACATGTTATTAGCTGTTTTTGGAAAGTTATAGAGTTTAAAGTACAAGTAGCACTTTGCTATTTCCAAACAATTTTGTTTCAAAATTAACGCTATTTACATTGTAACACTGATATCTGTCAGGAATCCCTGAATAACCCTTCACATGTATATATTTTTTTAAAAGAAGACAACCTAAGGTATTAAACTTGTGGTATTTTGACTCTTATGCAACCATTTAACCACCAATCTATGCCAAATAAAAAAAATTTAAAAAATTGGTAATTTCTTTGACACACACAGCTATTTAAGAATACACGTACTGAGAACTTTAACCCCTTAAGAACCCAACACACCTATACATGTGGGGTATCACTGTACTCAGGAGATGTTGCTGAACATCTATTTTTGTGGTGTTCTTTGGCAGTAACCCTTAACCACCTAACTTCTGGAATAAAAGGGAATCATGACATTTAACACGTCATGTGTCCTTAACCCCTTAAGGACACATGACATGTGTGACATGTCATTCCCTTTTATTCCAGAAGTTAGGTGGTTAAGGGTTACTGCCAAAGAACACCACAAAAATAGATGTTCAGCAACATCTCCTGAGTACAGTGATACCCCACATGTATAGGTGTGTCGGGTTCTCTGGGGCTAAAAGACGTTATTTGGAGGGTGCGCTGGTCATCATACACCCATGTCCTATTTGGGAAATGTTTAAAGTCTGCCAATGTAATTTACCCCAATCAAACCATATATTTTAGAAAAGTAGACACCCAAGGGCAGGCAT